GACCTGCTGCTGCTTGGCCTGCGCTTCTCGCCCTCCCAGCTGCACTTCCTGTTCCTCAGCGAGGACGTGGCCGGTGCCTGGCAGACCCGCGTGTCCTTCCGCAGCCCGGCCCTGGGGGACGGCCGCTGGCACACGCTGGTCCTGGCTGTGACCGCAGGCGTCTTCTCCCTCACCACGGACTGCGGCCTCCCGCTGGACATGTAGGTACCCCGGCGGGGAGGGCGCCCCTGCAGCCGCAGGGCCCTGCCAGGCCAGCCGTCCGCCGGCCATGCTTTCAGAGCAACACCTGTAGGAGCTGCCCTGGGGCAGGAGCCGACCAGGGGCCAGGAGCTATGGGCTGGAGGGGCTTTTCCCGTTCCTTCGGTGAGCAGACCAGGAGCCACCGCTCTCCTGTGGCCCTAACGCTGTCCTCTGATACTTTCAGAATGGCCGATGTGCCCTTCCCAGCCACCCTATCGGTGAGAGGAGCTCGGTTCTTCATCGGCAGCCGGAGGAGAGCCAAAGGCCTATTCACGGCGAGTATGGAGGGGCTGCCCTCCCAACACCCGCGCCTGTGGGATAGGGCTGCCCCGGCCGCCTGTCCTGCTGCTCCAGCTGAGCAGATCCCCAGATGTGCTAACTGGAAGAGAGGGCACAAGCGGGCGAGGAGTGTCTACCACAGGGCCTTCAAGCTTGCTGTTTCCTCTTCCTGGCACCCTCCTCCCTGGTAGTCTTGGATCCCTATCCAGCAGTCCTCTTCCGGCTGCCCCCACCATGCTGAGCCAATGCCCACACTGCACCCTGCAGCCCCTTCCCCAGAGCTGAATATTTATCAATGCATGCTTGGACAGATAGATGGATGAGTGGATGGGCGGATGGAGGGATGGACAAATGGACAGATGAATGGATGGATGGTTGAGCGGGTGGATGAATGGGTGGAGAGGTGAACACACGGACAGAAAGATGGAAGGATGGATGGTTGAAGGATGGACGAATGGGTGGATGGATGGATGGGTGGATGGAGAGATGGATGGATGAGTGATGGATGAATGGGTGGATGGATGGATGGGTGGATGGAGAGATGGATGGATGGG